TAGCCATAGTTGATGGACAGTAATTGATGTCAATGTTTATGTCCCCAATATTGGTGGTGAGGAAATGAGAACAAAGGCTTTGCGTAGGCGGATACAGTTAGCATATGGATGATCTGACACAGCCACAAAGAGATGTAAGTTTAACTTTCTGTGAGAAACAACCAATCAAAAGACTGTATTTTCTACCAACAATAATCTACGATAATGTACACTAAAATCTATAAATATGTGCTGATTTTCCTTAATAAACGACCTGTTGCCTGACCCTTGTCTTCTGTTGTTACACTAGTAATGCTGTAGATAAGCTAAATGATGCCAACTCTACTAAATGAAGTTTGCCTGGTGTTCGATAAATCAAAACTCCACCTATATTGTAAGTACTGTTGACAAGGTGTAAATTAAAAAGACTGATAAATAGTAATGTGTTCTTTTGAGCAATATATCTGAATACAAAAAGAAGTGAAGATAATTCTGGAAAACGGTATAATAACTCATCTAGTGTGATCTATACGATGACAGTCTAGTGTATCTGCATGATTTCAAATTATTCAGACAAGATCGATGTAGTTCTAGGAAGAAACGTGGTGGCGGTGTCGCCATCTTCATAAATTCACAATGGTGTACATCTAATTAAGTAGGTTTCAAATTTTCTAGTGACAACATTGACTGCCTCACCGTCAAATGTCGACCTAAGCATTTGTCAAAATATAACTACATATACATCTCGAACATTTATATTGCGCCTGGATGCAATTCCACTGAATTGTCTTTATTTGCGGATGAATTTACCTCCTTTGCTGCCACCTCCTTCGGAAACTCCTTGTCTATAGTTACTGGAGATTTCAATTCTAGTGATCACAGTTTCCTTGTTTCACTTGGTCATGATAACATTGTCAACTTCCCGACTCGAATGGATAATATTCTAGATCTTGTGTTCACAAATGACATTGGAATATTTGAAGCTCGGAAAAGAGCCCCACTACTTAACTCTGATCACTGCATCATAAGAGTATTGCCCAAGGTATGTGGAAAGCTGCACAAAAGGGTCTTCTCCCACCTAGGAAAGAAAACACAACACAGATGTTATTCACATAACAACATACAGAATCTAAGGACAATGTTAAAAGACACAAACTGGGACCTGTTTACTGAACAAGATCTTGACAACACAATTAGTAACATAGCACATTATCTAAATTTCTGTCTTGATGTTTGTTGTCCTAAAGAGACAATCTACTTAAAATTCGACCGTTTCGCCTCTTCTCAACTCAAAAAGCTTCGCCGTGAAAAAGAGAGGTTGTACAAAATGAGAAATAAATCTGGCGTTAAGAGAATGAACACTTTAATTAAAGCCGAATTACAAAGACTAAATGCTCTCTATAACCAGAAGTTTCTTTCATGTAAATCCTCATCTAATATGTGGAAGCTATTAAAGGAAATCACAGGTGGTAAGCAAATAATGAATGATACTTCCGTTGATGTTGATATGCTTAATAAATCCTTCATATGTATCCCTGCAGATGTTATGATTCCCAAATCTAATAGTATAAATAATGACTGCTTCTCATGTTTTAACACGAATGATGTCCTCAAGTGTCTTCAATCTCTCAAACCTACCCAGCCCCTTGGTCCTGATGGAGTTCCTGCTGTTACCCTTAAGAAGTGTGCTGACATCTTATGTTACCCATTAACCGACATTTTCAATGAATCTTTTTCCAAAAGTATTATTCCTGACTCATGGAAAAATATCAAGGTTGTTCCAGTGCCTAAATCAACAAGTGGACCTACTGTCAAGTTTAGACCCATTGCTATTACCTCACCTTTTTTAAAAGTTATGGAAAGACTTATTTTACTTAATCTTGAACCCTCTTTAAAGCCTTTTAATGACCCCAACCAGTTTGCCTATAAACATAGTAGGTGTACCTTAGATGCCGCTGTAGTTCTATATCATAATATAGTCTCTAGTTTAGATAGAGGAGCCAAATATGTTCGGTGTGCCTTCCTTGATTACACATCTGCATTTGACTCTGTACCTAGGTCTCTCTTGTTAAGTAAGCTTGCTGCAACACAGAGTGAGAGCTGGACAAATAAGTGGTTGCATTCCTATTTTTCCGATAGGAAGCAGTACACCATCTACAATGGAAAGTCCTCCACTACCTCACTTACTTTAGCTGGTGTTCCTCGAGGTGCTGTTCTTTCTCCTTTTCTGTTTTCTTTTTTCTTACATGACTTGCCCCATTCTGATGTAGCAACTTTTGTCAAGTACGCTGATGACCTCTCTGTCTCCATGCCTGTCAACTCTCAGTCAGACTGTTCCATACTAAATAACTTTCTCTCGGAAATTAGTCAGTGGTCCTCTTCAAACGGTCTTAAGCTGAATCCGTCTAAATATCAGGTAGTAAATTTCACTTTCAGACGAAAAAGTGACCTACAACAACTAGCTAGCTCACATGGTCCCACTATCATTGACGGCATAGAGGTTGAAACTACATCTAATGTCAAGTACCTTGGACTGAGTATTTCCTCCGATCTTTCCTGGTCCTCTCACATCTTGCTAGTGACTAGAAAGATGTTTCGCTTAACGTTCTACGTTAGGAAGTTTAGGCAGTCTGGTATAAAGCAGTCTTTGCTCTCTCAGTTTGTCAATTCCTGTATTCTACCCATCCCTCTTTACTGCTCCCCATTAATCTTCCCTGGACTACTTAAGAAAGACTTTGCTTCGCTGCGTAGGGCACTAAAAGCTGTTAGTAGGGGAAGTGGGATTTCGTTAAACCAACTGGTTAACACTATTGTGGATAGACATATAATGTCATGTAAGAAACTAGCGAATTCTATATTGTCAGACCCCGAACACCCTCTCTATACGCAGCTCTCCTTGCATTTCATCTGGTAGAACTAGAAGCAACTATAGGAAGCTATATGCCAGGAATACCAAGTATAAAAACTCCACAATACCTTATCTGGCACAGCTGTTATGTGATGAGAAAACTGTTAGGCATGATACGATCACCTTACTGCGGCACTCTAACAAATAGCTCCCATTAGCTTTTGTTCTCCTTTTTTTTGTTACTATTATATTGTTGCTCATATATTCTATTACAGACTAATTTTATATATCATATCCTGTGGTGCATTGTTTAAATATGTGAATGCAATGCTGTTCTATTTTTTTTCTTTTATTTCCCTTTTTCTTTTTGTTGTTGTTGCTTTATATTTCTAAATCCTTATAAAATTTATGAGGTAATTACATGCAATATTGTAATGCACGCTGAAAATTCCATACCTGTACCACAAATACTGTTTGGAATAAAGCCATTATTATTATTATTATTATTATTATTATTATTATTATTAAAAACGCCGTACAACCGACTCAGAGAATGCAACTGTCCATTACATTAGCAGACAGCGTGACAAAATGGCGTTGGTGCCAGTCTGTACGTGTATACATTAAAAGTAGTCTTGAACATTAGAATGTATGAGTGAAAACAAAAACTGAAGACATTCAAGGAGCACTGTAGATCATATATACATTATTGTGCTGCTATATTTTGATTAAACTAGCGTATACGTATATCCTAATACTTCTCGTTTTTAATTGTGTCCTAACGTTGTGCTTACTCGACACACACGACGTAAATCAGAAGACACTTGAGAAGGTGTAGGAATGTGTATTCTCGCCGTAATCAAAATTCAAAACTTGAGCGAGTACAAAATGTATCAATTGTTAACACGGAAGATTTAGAGTAATAAACAAATCAAAGTACAATTACACAATGAAAGTATCGTACGATGATGAGTAATAAAATGGGTCACTACAACATCTCTACAAATCATTATACCAACTTTTACCAATATGTTGTATTCATTAAGAAATTGCATGCTAACTAACTAATTATAAATAAGTAAGGACAATGTATAGTTGTTAATACATTTTACTTTTTGATTTTTTTGTTTACTTTCTTGAGGGAATTTAAGATTTCAAGTATTGGTTTTGTAGGGATTTTATTTGCTTGGATGGAGGATTTCATCATGAGCTGACGTCAGTTAGAGAATCATTGGAAAACCTGGGAGTATTGGACAGCTGTTTCACCAGCCTAGTTTGGGACTCTTCAGCACCCACCGGGATTCGAACTCAGGACCTTCTGGTTACGAGGAGAGCTCGTAGACCATTGGGTCACTGGGACCCGGTCCAATGGCCAGTCCATGAATTCTAACTTCTGCCAAATAACGACATAGCGAGACCATTTCGCAATGTCTTCTTCGATGAGTTACTACCTCATCTTCAACCTGCTGTACCCTACTGGTCACCGCTTCCCACTAGAGCTCCAGGTCACTGCCTGAATAGGGGCATCAGATTCATTTTCAAGTATTGGTTTTGTAGGAATTTAAGATATCCACCTGATATCTTCTGTCAATCTGATGCCTTATGACTACATTGTTCTGAGTTGTACTCGCTCTTCACTTCACTTCAAACAGAAAAGGGATAATTGCTATTGAAAGTACTTTTGTATCATCACACTTTTCAAGTAAATGGCTAATATACTGCATCATGTATCTGTCTTCGCATTGACAACTTTCTTTGTATGATTCACACAGTTTTTCAGTAAATATAACTTTCTGTTTATGTGAAATGTAAGTCAGTCACTCTGAACGCTTTCCAATATCTTTTAATTCCAATGCATCCTCAAAAATATTTCAATATTCTTCGTATCATTTATTTGTTCATAATAATGATAATAATAATAATAAACTGATAAGTCTCATAATATACAGACGACAACATTCACATATTATCGACCGAAAAGTGATGATTTGGAAATATTATGAACACGTGATCAATTCCCCTTAATAAAATACAGTTTTCTTAAATACAATAAAAAGGAAAGTGGCATTGGTAGTTATGATAAAGTTGAATACTTTATCACAATCTTTCTAAATACCCTGGAGTTATACGTTGCACGTTAAAAGTAATATGATCTCTAGAAGGTTGATATTCTCAAGCTTAACGTTATGTATATTTGGATTATGTCTTTTGATAATTGGATCAATTATGCTTATCTCTAGAGAGAAGGAGATGGAAAATACAAGGTAGTAACTGTGTATATGCGTATGTATTCTTTTTTATGCAGTCTTTATAATTTTATTCTCATGTGTATTTAGAACGTTATCGTATCTCTGGCTCATTTGATATACATTCCTTATTATTTTTCATTGAAAAATGTTTACCCCTGAGAGCCGGTGGCACAGTGGTAGAATGCTGGCCAACCACTCACGTGGTTCGGGATTCGGTCCCGGCCACGGACGCACTCCTTTACCTCACTAAGCCAGTAATAAGACTGGTAAAGAGGGAAGGTTGGACATGAGGCTGGCAACCCCATCCCGTAAAAATAAATAAACTTCAAGCCAGTAGCTTGAAGGCGCCATATGTTCCACTGGAAACGTAAAGGAATAAAATAAAAACAAGAATAATAAATAAATTTACTCCTGTCTATTGTCTAATTAGGTGATTTAGTATCTAGGATATTTCAATTAATTTCCAATTTACGTTGATTAAAATTTCCATTAAATGTGTAAAGTAAGGGAATTTTAAATATTTTGTTTTGCTGTTGTAGTGTGAAAGAGTAGAAATAGGTTTATATATATATATATATTATATAGGGTTTGCCACTATAGAGCCTTAGGAATTTGTACTAGGAATGCAGTTTTCCGTAGTACAATTAGAAAATACCTTTTTCTAGAAATGTTTCCTATATAACATTTAAAAATCTATTGAACTGTGTATATTAGCAACTGTAACACACATGCATTCATACGCTAATCTGTCATCTTTCCAGAGGCTGTCAATATCAACTCTCATTACATACTACACATACCCAACTACAGTCTACTCTTGTTTGTTTACGTTAATTTTATATTTCCCTTTGACTGACTGATTCATGCTGGACCAAAAAATAATTGGTCTCAATTGACATGTCAAATCTAAGTACACGTGCTTTGACGATATCAGGAGGTTAATATGCAGTGTTAATTGGTTGATGATGACCATCTGTGGAATCTCTAGGATGTGGGAAAATTATCACTCACTGTAGATGCCGGTATATGTAGCTAATGAGTTCCAAATAGGATTAAACAAGTTGCCTGGATCTCACTGTGAACTATCATCAACGAAAAAAAACATACTGTTTACTCTAAAATCAGGTCAACTTTTGTTGAAAAAATTATGAGATACTTTTTTCTTCTAAGTGTAACACGTATTATTATCATCAAAATAATTTGAATTCCAAAACCACTATCACTAAATATATCCAAATAAATTAATAGAACAAGGCTTTAAAGTGTCACATGAGGTGTTATGTATGCCTAGTCATCGCCTTCCTCGACAACAGGCAATGTTAACTGATATAGGGTCAGGCTGGAAAAGAGCTAGCGGCAGTCAAACGAAAACATGGCACCAGTCAATGAAATCCACAACAGTTAGTCTAAGCCACGTAGGAAGGTATAGACTTCCTGATTAGTTGGGGTCCTCGGGACGGTAAAAACCAATGGTTGGAAACAATTGGTGACATGGCTCAAAATCGTTCTCAATGGCTGGCGCAGATGCATCCACTCCTTGTGACTTATGATTTCCAACTAAACTATTTTGTTCTTCGTTATTACTATACTTTTGTCTCACACCTCTGTTTAGTGACTATATTATGCATTTCTTCTACTTTCTTCTCTTCCTTTGTGTGCTACATGGGTTGGAGTGTGGCGACTTGAACTGCCGCACATATGTGCAAAGTTCTATGTCGAAGACAGACAAACAGACAGACTGGAATATCAGACTGGCACGGTTGTGTTGTGCTTCAACTGAATGTCTTGTATTCCCTTGTCACACTCAACTACAGCATAAAAGGTCTTGTTAAACTATGATGGAGAAACTTCGTGGTAGCAAGAAAGCCAAAAATTTGCAGTATAAATTATTATTTATTATTATTTATTCCTTTACGTTCCCAGTGGAACATAGGGCGCCTTCAAGCTACAGGCTTGAAGTTTCTGTAGCAGTGGTGATTATTTTTCATAGGATGGGGTTGCTAGCCTCATGCCTGACCTTCCCTCTTTACCAGTCTTATTACTGGCTTAGTGAGGTAAAGGAGTGCGTCTGTGGTCGGGAATCGAACCCTGGACAACCTGCATGGTCGGCGAGCACTCTACCTCTGTGCCACCGACGCACTGCAGTATAAATGTGCATACTCAATTTCGAGGCCTTTCTTCAACTACAGACAGGCTAAAAATGTACACTGTACCAAAAGCAATAAGATCATGGAGTTTTTATTAGCAGAATTTTATCATGAAGATTGTAGTTTAAGGAAACAACAATGGAAGAAATGGGATGGCATAATAATCAGTTACAAATAGAACAAAAAGAAATCAGCTATTTATCTATTTAAGAAGAACATTTGAGAAGTTTTGGTAGTTGACTTAACAACGAAAACAGTAACTCAACAGCAACATACAGAAGAAAAGTTTGCGTAGTAATATAAAAGTAAACATTTGGAAGTAATGTGAAATCGTCTAGGTGAGAAAGATCAGTGCGTCAGGAAAAACATAATAATTATAATATTGAAAAAATTCTTACCAGGGTAGACTGAAGTTAATTACTATTTCCTTCTGTAAACACAAGCATGGTTTGAGTTGCTTGGTGTCAGCAGATTCAATAAATCTAAGTAAAATCTGATTTCTTTGTTTGTTTTATAATAGTAACAGTACTCTGAATATGAACTTTGTGTCTCGATTCATTTAGATGTCTGCTGGCAAGAGACTTGAGGTCTATGAATTTCAAACTTTTAGGAGTGTGTTCACAGAAGCAAATGAACACCCACCTTTCTGTGTTTCTGACGTATTTTCTCAACTACTTACTTAGAGAAATACTGAGATATACACGATGTGTAAGTTGGGTACAGCCGTAAAGTGTGGATACAGACTGGCAAGTAGGAATTTAGGCAGATGTTTGAAAATTCCATATTAGTTTGTTTATTAGACATATCACACAGTGAAACAGTACTATTCACTGGATGACGTTTCGAACAAAATGTATTGTTCATAATCATATCAACTGTGATCACACGACTTTGAAACTTGAGTTTTATGGTTTTCTTTTTCCTCTCCCATTTGTCGTAGGGGTAGTAGAATTTTGCAGATATCTGGGACAGGTGATGAATCATTCCTATTACATGTGTTTTCAGTTGATTCGATAAACAAAGCTTCTGTTATCAATCTCTCCCTCCACCCTGTGACATTAGATTTTAAAACTGTCATCCTATCCCATCCTATTGTATGGTTGTGTGTAACTGTATGTAGTCTTACAGCTGAACTATTCTCTAGATTTCTTATCTTATTCGGGTTAACTAATCTAGATTTTGCTAAGTTTTTATGTTCAGTAAATGAAATATCCCCATATTGAAATCAAAACAAGATTTTGAGCGAACAATTGTTTTCGATAACTTCTTCCTCAGGCTCTATAGTTATAAATCCATGAATAATAGAGTACATATAGCCAATAAAGGCAAATGAAAATAATATCAGAAACTGTATTGGGGTGCATGTGTAAGTTGAGATGATAGTCCATTAGTTAACATAATCAATTTGACATTAGTTAACATAATCAACATTTGATTGATTATGTTAACTAATGGACTATCATCTCAACTTACACATGCACCCCAATACAGTTTCTGATATTATTTTCATTTGCCTTTATTGGCTATATGTACTCTATTATTCATGGATTTATAACTATAGAGCCTGAGGAAGAAGTTATCGAAAACAATTGTTCGCTCAAAACCTTGTTTTTATGTTCATCTAGTCTGACTGCCCCTGTTCTACTAGTTTGACCTATGTATTCGACCTGACAATCATTGAAGGCAGGGTATTAGATAAACTAAATTGTTTTGTTTTAAAGGCTCTACAGGATCCTTCAACCGACAAAGCTTGTTTCTAATTGAGTTTATGGGTTTAAATGCCGTTTTTATTCCTGCCTTGTTAAGAATTCTGCGTAAGGCTTCCGAGGTCCCTTCCTTGTATGGAATTACTACTGATGATTTAGATTCTTTATTGTTGGTGTCGTCATTAATATTATTATTATCACTATTATTATTATCATTATTATTGTTATTATCACTATCGCTACTATCATTATTTATTTTATTTTTAAATTTCCATACATATTTCCTGATTAATTAATCAGGGTAATTATTAAGTTTCAAGGCTTCTCTTATATGTATCACTTCCTGTCTTTGATTTTTCTTGGTACTGCTTAGTTTTCGTGCTCTGTCACTTAAACATTTCACCAGTCCTATTTTCACTGACATAGGATGGGACGATCGGAATTCGAAATATCTGTTTGAATGTGTGGGTTTCCTGTAAACACTAGTGTTTAACTTCCCATCTTCTTTCCTTTTTACACTACAGTCTAACATTGGAAGGTCCTCTTCTTGATTTTCCAATTCATAAGTGAATTGAATTGCTTCAACCTTCGAGTTGATATGTTCGAAAAACCTATGTATATCTTGTGTTCTAAGTACAGTGAATGTGTCATCTACATACCTCCATCATACTTATGGGGTGGGGGTGAACGTTTCAATCGCTATGTTTTCCCACCTATCCATTAATATATCTGCTACAGCCGGGGATATTGGTGATCCCATGACAACTCCCTCAGTTTGTTTGTATATTTTCCCTTGGAATTTAAATACTGTGGAAGTCAGGCATAGCTGTACTCCCAGCATTGTGTCCTCAAGTGACACTTTTGTTTTAACTTCGAGTTTTTGGTCAGAAATCAGTTTGTTTCTGACTGGCCTCCATAGCCATATTTATTGGTATACATGTGTATAAACTGACAATGTCAAAACTAACCATTTTTTCTTCATTATCTAATGTCTGAAAAATTTACAACTGGAAATAACATGGTAGCGTGTTGCAATTCGATTGTCAGTTTTTTTAAAGGCTGTTTCTGTCAGTAGAAATCTTTTACTGTCTCATTCAAACTGTTGCATGTTTTCAGTAGTATCAACAAAAGGAATTATGAAATTGTGTGTTATACATTTCTG